AAGAGAAACCAAGTGACAATCCATACAGAGATCAGATCATGATTTTCCAAGTGGAGAGGAGTGTTATAAACAGTAAATGCACTTAAATCTCTAAACTTAACTAAGCCCAAGAAGATTCTAAGTTTCTTAAAACATGAATCCCAACTTGAAGGACTCTTTTCAAGGTATATTTTTTTCTCTCTACTTTCTCCAATACTTTGGCCTACAGTTTATAGGAGGTGCAGAGCAACTGCCGTTCAGTGACAAACAAAATAATATTTCTTTCATTTCCTCTGGCCCCCTTCCAATCTGTTTTGTAAACTGATGTTAAGTGTCATTAGTAAAATGTAAATTTGACACTGCCCTTCTCCTCTCCTATGCTATACTCTTGTGACTAAAAGGGCTTAAAATCCTTGAATAGTCCAGAATAGCTAGCAAGGCCTGACCCTACTATCCTATTGACTATGGACCGAGAGAGTCATTCAAAGAGGACTCCTGACAGTGGCAGAACAGGTTGTGTTCTGTAGAGATTTCTGACTGCTGAGTTTCCCTTCTCCATGTTTACCCGGCAAGTCCCTCTCACATTCAGCTATAAGTCTAATAGCTATACCTCAAGAAAATCTTGGACTAGGTCCCCTCACACTATTTTAAAGTTCTAAACAGCATATAGCCATTCTTTAAAATATATCGTCATTTTTAATTCCCATATATATTCTTTCAAATGGTATGCCTCCTCAGTAGACTACAGAATGTTGAGCAAGGAGCTACTTCTGAGTGTACTCACCATTGTAGCCACAAGTTTTCTCCATTCCCGCCTGGCCCCGTGGTCCTGCAGTCATTTATAACAATCACTCAGAGGCTTAATATTATTTAAAAACTGTATGGTCTATGGCAGGCCTCTTGCTAGCTAGCTCTTATAACTTAACCCATTTCTATTCATCTATAAGTTGCCACGTGGCCGTGGCTTACCAGTACTTTCATATCTTGCTTCTCCTAGTGGCAGCTCGCAGCTTCTCCCCAGACCCTGCCTTTCTTTTTTCTGTCTCTCTCTTGGATTTCCAGCCTGGCTATAACCTGACTTGCCATAGGTCAGAGCAGCTTCTTTATTAACCAGTCATAGCAACACATATTAACATTGTACAGAAAAATATCCCACAGTACACCATTTCATTGCAGAAGCCTAAAGCTCTGGCATGTGCAAGCAGTCAATCTATACTTATGTATAAAAAGAGATGAATAAATGAATGTATATGAATGTGTATTGTCAAATCTCTGGTCTCAGGAAAGTTATATAAAGCAGCACTTTACTAAAGACATTTACTGCACTGCCATGCCCTATAATATTAAGCAATAATGCATCTTTATAGTAATTTGAATAGAGAAATTGGAAGAAAATGACATCACAATCCAGTATGATATGAAACATGTGACCATGAAAAGTCTAGGACTTACTTAGATCTGGAGATCACAAGAATAATTTAATTTCTTATGGATCATCATTTTATCCTTAATTTTAAGCTGGATCATCATGAGATTCACTATGTTTTTGAAACTGCTAGGAAACTATCAGTACCCTTAAGTAGAAACTTATTAAATAATAATGGCACAGACGCACTTAGATGCGTATGATCCACTGAAAAAGCTATGTGCTCCATAAGCATCCATCATTCAGGAAGGATGACATTGTTAGGTAGTTGAGCCCTGATAACCCTCAGGATCAAAAATATCAGTGGTACATAAAATACCTGTTTCTGGGACCATTTTGTATGTATTTTTGCTCTTTGAAAAACATCTCATCCCCCCTCCCACCCACCCTCAAAAAAGCCAATCTGAAGGAAGGAAAAAGTTTACTTAGCATATGAAAAGAGACACAACTTGGAAATAAGGTGTTTCTGTTCCTATCTAGGCTCTGCCACTAACCTGATCATGAAACACAACTTTTCAGGTGTTCTCTCTCCATCAGTACATAAATATGTAAGTAAATAAACAGGTAAATCTTATTAGGATGTCAAAGAATTCATTCAAAAAAATATTCTTGAATGAAATTCACAGATAAATTGTCCCAGGCATCTAGATGGGGAAGATAAAACCACACCATTCCATTCTGACTTTATATTATCATCATATTTTTAGTTCTTATTTTTTATTTTGTTTTGTTGTTGTTCAAACAGCCCTAGCTGTCCTGGAACTGGCTTTGTAGACCAGACTTGCCTTGAACTCACAGAGATCTACCTGCCTCTGCCTCCCTAGTGCTGGGATCAAAGGTGTGCGCCACCACTGCCTGACTGTTCTTAATTGTTTTAAATAGAAGGTTACTACAATATATTGTACTTCCTAAATTAAGTGTAAAAGGAATTGAAAGGACTGGGGATGCCTTAACTCTGTGTTCAATATTTGCTTAACTGTAATCTTTCCTGTACAATTTCTGTAATGAATATTTATTTATTTTGTTTTTAAATTGGGTTTATAAAGAATGTGGTAATCAGTGTAAATACTGAGAGGAGACAGAGCTTTGTTTACACTTCATCTGAATAGAAATCATCTCCCCCAGTCGTCAAGGCATGATCGGTGTTGGGAGAGGCATCCACTCCAATTAATTATTCAATAGTCACTTGACACACATGAAATGGAGAAAATAAGCCAATGCTTCTGGGAAGACAGACTATGCCTTAATCATTCCATTTCCCATTTCTTTGATAATCAAAAGAACCCAGCCTTTTGTTTTCATGCCATGACTAGTGGTGAGCTTTGCATTCTCTTTCGACTCACATTTTCAAAATGAATCAATGCTCAGGACAATTCTGATGCATTTACTTTCTTGGGAAGATTTTTCTTAGGCCTCAGATATCATACTGCTCCAATATTCATCCTGTTAATTCCAAATTATGCACCTTACAGAAAGAACTATGCATTTGCCAAAACAAAATGTATTTTGGAAACATCTAATTCTGTTTCTCTTTAACATTCCCCTTTTTTTTTCAAGCTTTCTCCAGTCTTAACTGTTCCTCATTATGCATGATCCTTGGATCCCTACATTAAAATGCATAGAAATATTTTTAAAATTCATTTAAAACACTCTCCCACACAGTACAAGCTGTCATTGTGTCATATTTGTTTCTTAATTTAAGAAAGGAAGTTATATTTCATTAAGTTGCCTTCTTTATCATTTAAAGTGGCATTAGGATGCTTAGAGAAGTATTTTCCCATAAAAATAATATTTGCCATTCCTTATTAATCAGTACAAATGTATGCAACTTCAGGTTGTACTACTGAATTCATCTCATCTAGCTATCATATTCAGGATTTACAGTTCAGCTAGATTTGGTAGAGGAAAAAGATTGTTCTGTTTTATTTTTGTAAAACATGAAATCTGATCTTATGTTCACGGAAATTTACCAGTAGAGATGAAGTGCAGTATGGGACATGGGATACAATCATCTCTAATTACTTAGACCAAAGAACCTAACACAAACCCATATGAAAACAAAGCACGGGTAATAACTCTTAAACACCCCACCACTGTTCCCATGAAAGCTACAGAACACTCCTGAATAACACTTTTCTTCCTCCTAACTAACTCTCTTTGCTGTTTAAGCAGTTACAAATTTCATCATGTCTGCCTTTCTTTAAGAGCCAAATGAGAGTGAGCTGCCAAGTCTAATAAGAATTACAAAGGCTGGCTCCTCGCAGCAGTATCAGCCAAAGGGGCAGGGGGGGGGGGGATTTTTAAAGAAAGAAGAACAAAAACCCAAAGCCAGACATCACACAATAAAACACAACCACACACAGAGCTTTGGGGCCCTGTCTTTCCAAATCAGATATAATTATTATAATAATTGACCTTTTCACATCAACCATACATGCTACCCATCCATGCACTCACTGGCTGCCTTGATTTGACCCCAAGCTATATACCTAATGAAAACCAAGACACCTCTCTGGCTTAGCTTCTAATATATTCATGTTTCATCCTAGGCACATCACTCACCCCCTTTCTGTTTACAAGTTTCCCTGCATTTACATAAGAATAATTTCCTTGGTCACTGTCATAAAAATAAATAAATAAATAATAGAAGAGATACACAGAAAGCTGTGTTTTAGATGTAAAGGGGTGAAAATAAAGCTTAGCTGTACTTTGTTTTAAGCCCTGAGGACCACGGAAACAACTTGACTTCTGCTACTCACAAAAATGTTATCAGCTGGATATCTATGGAAAAATCTCTTACCATCACTCACATGCATCCTGTTCAATAGCCTGGGCAGTCTTCCCCATCCAGCGACATCTAAATTGCTCTAGTACTTTTGTTACCAAGCACTTATTAAGCATGAAATACATTATCTCATCTCTAACATTCCTCACCATTAGCTGACCTGTCTCACACTTGAAGAAACCAAAGAAATCACAAAATTCGACTTGAATATGGCAGATCTGGGGATTGGGACATAACCATGGAAACCAATACTATTTTCCCAAAGCCTTCTGTTCATGAAGGAAATCTCTTTCCACAACCAGGGGCAGGTCTTGGATCTGCAATGTTACCCAGGGCCTAAGGACTGTGTGCTTTGACCAGGAACCATGTGGACAGCTCTACCATGGATGGCCCAGGGCTGCTTACCCTGCATTTAATTTTCTCACCAAACACATGCTCAGTTTTCTAGACACTTGTCAATACCTTACAGGCAAGGTCTGTGGTCCTGTACTGGTGGTCCAGGACAGTACAGGGCCATGTAGGTGGGCAATGGCCATCGAACTACAGGAACCCGACAACCTTGGGCTGGGGTTTTAGGGAGGCCATTCTATTGGTCACTTGGAAGGAGGTAGACTTGCATGGACGGGGCCTCAGAAAGTGAGGGAGGCTTGCCCATTCAGAGGCTGCAAAGGGAGGAGCTATCTGCGGAGGGCAGCATGGCCTTGAGGGACAGACAGGCCTTCACCGGAGGCATCCGGAGGAGGAAGGCCCCATGCACCGGCCTCCCGCCCAGCCCAGGCCGAGGCTCCACGGGGGTCGGGCAGGCCTTACCTTGGCTGCAGTCCTTGCCGCGGAAGCCGGTCCTCGAGCAGTCGCACACGGCCTGGTCGTCGACCACGGAGCAGACGCCTCCGTTGAGGCACACGCCGCCCTCGCCCTCGTCGCCCGCCTCGCACGGGCTCCCCCCGCCGCTGTTGGGCGGCTCGTCGTCCAGCTTGACCTCGCCGCTGTCCACGGGCAGCGCCTGTGACGAGTTGACCCTGACGTCGCGGATCCAGCCCTTGAAGGGCTCGCGCTCCCTCACCGAGGCCAGGGTGAGCTTGAGCGCCGCGGCTCGCAGTTCGGGGGGCAGCCCCCCGACGAAGAGCCCGCTGAAGACCGTCATGTCCCTGCGCTTGGACTTGACCTCCACCCACTTGGCCTCGGCCTGGTCGATGTAGAGCGTGGTGTTGCGGAACTGGCGGCGGATGCGCACGCTGTGCCACGCCCCGTCGTTGACCGGCGTGTCCGCCAGCAGCGTGGCCGGCTCGGCGCAGAAGATGGAGAAGCTGAGCTGCAGGCGCCCGCCCCGGGTCAGGATGAGCTCCAGGAAGTCGCAGAAGCCCTCGTCGTCGAAGTAGAGCACGAGGCCGCGGGCGCTGCGCGTCTTCAGCTGGAAGCTCATCTCGCTCTCGCAGCAGGCGTTCCACTTGGGGAAGCGCGTCCACTGACCCTCGGCACCCGGGAACTCCAGCCCGCTGCCCAGCTCGGCCCAGCAGCCCAGCAGCAGCAACGACAGGCATAGGAGAAAGCAGCCCCCGCGCTGGACCAGCGCCGACCCCATGCTCGGGGCTGGGGTGCGGCGGGGGGGAGCCGGGGGCGACAGGGTCGAAACGGTCCTGGACACCGTCACGGAGAAATGGGGGTCCGTAGAGGAGTGGGAGGGAGGGGGCAGGTGGGCGTGGGAGGGGCGCGCCCTCCTTTAGCTCTTTTTTTCTTCTTCTTCTCTTCCAGCAGCCCCTTCCTCGCTCCCAGTAGTCCCCTTCCAACTGGAAAGCGGAGACCCCAGTGGTACAGGGTAGCCACAGAACTTCCAGGCCAAAGGGAGGAGACACTTTGGAGGCAACCTTCTGAAAAAGACGGCCACCGAGGCTCAAAGATCACTGATCCATTTGCATCCAATGATGTCAAGTGAGAGCATCTGTGGCTCCAACCAACACTTCACTCTTCCAGGAACAACACCTGCAATGTGTCACGGGTGGTGCCCGCAGAAGGAAAGAGAGTCAGAAGGCAACTCGTACTTCTCAGGGACTGACGGGAAGCCAACAGTACGCCAGTGTCTTTGGCTCTTGGGAAGCCTTGAGGACCCTCCAGGCGTTGGCCCCAAGAACAAAGGAAGAACGGATACGAGGGACACCAGAACAGCTTCAGAGGCCTGCTTCTTCTGCCATATCACAGGTTTCCAGCACCACTGAAGTCAAGGCCAAATTTCTTGTGCATGTCTTCCTGGGCTGATTTCACGTTATGTTGACCAGCCCTGTCAGTAGGACTCAAACCCTGTTGTGAAACAGCCAGAAGCTGTTAGATGGTGAAGTCAAATCCCAACAGCTCTCCGATTTTCTCCCTCTGCAAGGCCACACTAAGATGCTCGCATGTCAATTGGTTGTATGTTGCTGATGCATTTTGATTTTATTGTCTTTTTATAAGGACCCAAAAATCTGTGGAAATTAAAATAAAAATTAAGGCCTCTATTCAATTATAGTATTATGCAAAACGTTACTCAACTAGGAAAGCAGGTATATGACCAATGATTTTATCAAACCAGAGAATTAATTTTGCTGGATACAGGTGCGTGTGTGTGTGTGTGTGTGTGTGTGTGTGTGTGTGTGTGTGTACAGTAAGGTCAAATATTTCCTACTATGTAATGTCACACTCTTACAGCAAGCTATTACAACCTTGAGTTTACCATATCTGTTCATTGGTGACCAGAATTTTAAGAACAATTTGGTTGTGACATTCTTTCCAATTGTCCAAGAAAGTTTTAATTTCTAAAATGTATGAGGAAAGAAATGGAATGCCTTTTTAAAGGTTTTCTACTTACACCATGTGCTAGTTCCATGGAGAGGTGATACAACCTGTTCAAACCCCAGTTAATGGACAATTTTATAACAGGGAAAATACATCCAACTTTCAGCAGGAAGATGCTAGCTTATATTTGTATAGCATTCTTATCACTTGTCTCCCAGACAACAGGAATGTAGTGGTTTCTTGGGAGTCTCTTTAAAATTTCAAGCAAATATATTCCTCCTTTTTTTTATCAAATACATAATCTGTTATAATATAAAACATCTAGCTGGAGCCAAATTTGGAAGTATTTATGTCCTTGCTGCCATAATATTAGTTATTTCAAAAATGGGTATTTGATATTCTGCCTCACAGTCTAGTGATCTGACTCCTCCTCAAGTCTTTATCTGGCTGTCAGCCATTAGGACTTGTGTGGTCAGAACAGCAGTTGGCGTGTATGTCACCTCGGCTGTTATGGCTCCAGGATGCTCGAATTTAAAGCCATACCTTTGAATCACTCACGGTGCTCTTGAATCACTTCTTTTTATTTAACTCTAATCTGACAGGCTTTTGAAATGGTACAGAAACCATAAATTTTGAAGGAGGGGCTATGAATTTTTTAAACCAAATAACTCACATTTTGAGAAAAAATGAAAATGTATCATTTGGTCATTCCAGTGGAACATATCACCCTCACCATGTCTCACTATCTCCTACACACACACACACACACACACACACACACACACACACACACTGCTCCAAATTTACTGCTTGGACACAGAGCTCACTATCTAATTAACACTTTTTCCCCCTACAAGCTGAAACTAGCAGTAATTGATGGCACCGCATTGTGGCTGCTCCTCTGTGGAGGGAGCTGAAAGCATTTCTCTTCAGTTCAGAATGATCCCTACAGGTGTCAGCTGAGAGCCATCAAGCTAGGGGATCCCACTTCAAGTTCCTCCCCAGATGAAATTGATGACGGGTTCTCTTCTTTCAACATAGACACAACACACAACACAGACACACACACACACACACACACACACACACACACACACACACACACACACCTCACAGATATAATGAACTCATACACTTCTCCTTACCAAATGGTAATAAAAATCTCAGTTGCCTATTTATTATGGCTGATACATTCCTCACCCTCAGCTATTACAAGTCATATCTCTCCTACTCCTGTGCCAAACCCAAAGAAAGGTGCTTTTAAAAATGATCAATAATAGCATATTATTCAGTATACTTTCATGTTTAAGTAGGATGTGGAATATGGTAAATGTTCAGTATTTAGCAAAATTAGTCTGGACTATCACAAGAGTAGTGCTTCGAGGCCATTCTCAGCTTGTTTCTGTCTCTCTGTCTGTCTGTCTCTCTGTCTATCTGTATCTCCTTCAGTCTGTATTTCTGACTCTGTGTGTGTGTGTGTGTGTATGTAGAAAGAGAGAGGAGAGAGAGAGAGAGAGAGAGAGAGAGAGAGAGAGAGGATAGAGACAAACTGGATAACTGACTGTTGGAGCTTATTATTGTATAATTTTACATATATCACATAACCTTTTTGCACCCTGTCTCCTGCCCTCCTCATCTGAGGCACACCTTGACCATTTTGGAAAGGATGGAGAGAAGGAGGAAAAAACCTGGAAGGATGTATATATGTGTGTATATATATATATATATATATATATGTATATATATTCTTATGTATATATGTATGTGTATATATATTCTTATCACAGGGGAGGTCAACTGGCTTTCCCAGTTCCTAGAGGAAGCTCATTGTGTGAAAGACAGTATCTTTATTTATATGGAAAAAGAGGATTCTCTCTCGGTGCCCAAAAAGACCTGGAGAGTTCACAAATTAGAAGATGAAATAAAGGGATCTGAAAAACAACCATACTGCAGCCAAAACAAGAAGCGCTCTAATTCAAAAGCTGCCTAACAGCCTCATTAATCTTTTCTCTCGTTTCTAGAACAAAATTCATTCCCAAGTCACTGGAAGGATCAATACAGTATGCTGATCGGCTGCAGTTGCATTTATTTTATCATGTTTTCAGTGACACACATGCATGCACACACACACACACACACACACACACACACACACCCCTTACCATAAAACCTTTCAATATATATCCCTATAAGGAATCTGAAATCTATGAGAGAAATATTACAAGTTTTATCTTTTTGGCTCTGGCTTTTGCAAAGTACCTCAATACCAATGCACACCCAAAATTCTCCCTGGCTTTCCCGCCCAGTCTCTAAGCACCATCCCTAACACCAGTGCAGTTTCTTGGAGCCTGAAGTCTATTGCACAAATTAAGGATGGGCACAGTCAGGACTGATGGGGAAGGAAGAGAAAGAAAGAGATGTAGATATGTTTTATTTTATTGTTTTGCTTTCTAACTGCCTTTCCCTTTTCTTTCTTTGGATAACAAATCACTGCATTTAGCCTTTAAGTTACTACCTAGTTCCACCATCTCATCTTCTTGCCATTTGAAAGGCTACACGCAAAACAAGCAAAATCTACACTCCTCCACCCTCCCACCACCCATCCTTCCCTCTGTATTTGTGGCAGATCCTGGCCCAGTTACAACCGGGAAAGATACCCTTCTCCAGCTTGCCTCGCCCCATCCCCTCCCCCAGCCCAAATTGAGCTCCTTTACCTGCCTGGTTATTCCCCTTAGCTCCAGCCAGAGCTTGAAGCATGCATCGGTCAAAGCGAATTTCCTGAGGTCTAAGGATAAGGCGACTGCTGCTGCCTTTTTTCCGAGGCGTCAGGCTTGAGCGTCTATCTCCAAGAGTGCGGAAGGGAAGAACATGCAACGGAGGGGAGCAGCAGGGGGAGCAGGAGGAGGAGGAGGAGAGGGAAAAGGGGAAGGAAGAGGCGGTGGTGAAGCCCGAGAAGGCTGGGTTACGTGACGCCGGGTGCTGTCCTTCTGAAAGAGAAGGGCGGAGCTGAGCTCTCCGCAGTACCATGGAGAGCGGCCGGCCGGTCCTCTGGTTTGGGAACCGGTGGCCTCAGGCAGCCGCAGCCCCTTCCAAGTTCAGATGCTGAGAAGCAAGGTGCTTCTACCTTTGCATCGTCCCCTTGCAGGGGGAATCTGGGGGCGGAGACTTGCCACAAGCACTTCTAACTAGTCACTCGCCACCCTCCCTTCCAGAGAGAGGGGAGAGAGAGAGAGAGAGAGAGAGAGAGAGAGAGAGAGAGAGAGAGAGAGAGAGAGAGAGAGAGAGAGAGAGAGAGAGAAACCAGAGTCACGTAGCCTACTGAGCATGCCCAGGCCCCTGCTAGACCCACGAAAATCTTGTGGAGATTCCACTTCTCCGGGATTTAGTCATGATTGGGCGGGGGTACCTGAGAAGATGCCAGGACTCGGCAGCTAAAGGGAAGGAACAGAAACCGAGAAGCCGGTGACTAAGACGAGCTCCGGCTCAAGGTGTGCACCTGGATCTCCAGTTCCGAACCCTTGCAAAACTAGAGGCTCTTTGAGGAATGCAGGGGCAGGCGGGACTCAACACCCGCACTGGCTCCCTACTGTACTCAGTGTTCTGCCCCACCCCTTTCTGTAGCCCTGGACTGAGCCATCTGCCTATGCTGTGATAAAAGGACGTTAGAGAGACCCACCAGACTATCGCTCCAAGTTGGAGACCAGACTCATGCATCTGACAAGGTGCTTTCCTGGCAGTTTCTCCATCCACCAGCTTTTCATTCCCTGCCTCCGCTTTGGGCATCCTGAGCTGAACCAAGTTCTCTACCTATTTAACTCTTCCCTCCGGCTCTTCCTTCCTTTAGCCTCTGGTAAAACCTGGAAAAAGTGCAGCGCAGTGTGAACCTCTCTCACTGTGTAATTGGGCATGCCCAGTAGGCATTTCTGTATCTGGTGAGGAAGGAGTTAACTCTAAACGAGCTTGCAGACAAAGTGGATGGAAGTCTGGAGTCTGTGGCTTTAAATTATGCGTTCAGTCCTTTGGACATTTAAATTTCTATCCCCGTTATATTTCTACCACAGGTTAGTTTTAGAGTAGAAATACCAGATGTTTTTATTTCAACATCACAGACTTGATAGCCTCAGCCTCAAATGCTGAGGTAAGAGTATTTTCTGCCTTCAGGCTCTTTAAAGGAAGAATGCAAGAGCTAGGCAAATTCAGGAGCCTTGAGATTTCCAAATGCAAGATTCTTTTCCATCCAAAGAAACCAGAATTCTCTCCTAACAATGAACATATTTACACTTCTCCTACTTTTGTTCAAATGTATAAGAAAAACCTGAATACAGAAACCTCAGTTTTATGTCTATTTTTAATGCCCTTTAGAAAAAGCAGTTTCATCTAGTGATGACATGTATAGAAAACAGAATCAGATTGGCTGGGTGTGAGTTCCATGTCTGACATTTACTAGCTGTGACCTTGGCATGACACTTAGCCATATGATACCCTTGTTGTTGTCGTCATCGCCTAGTCTATAAGATGGGTACAATCAACGTCTCCACTTAATGTACATGAATATACAAATACAAAAGTATTCTGAATTCTGCTTTAAGCCACTGCTAGCTGTTTTGATGAGTAACTCAACCCAACACTATTCTGTCTGACACAGTGACAGGCACTCTGAAAGTTAAGACTCTTGATTATAAAATAGTGATGGCCAGCTTGTTCTTCAAAATTGCTTAAGTGTGCACATGTATTTAAGTCAGAAATGAAATCTTAAAAGTATAGCTAAGTCTCGGAAAAGTTGTTATTAAAGTTATGATATTTGTAAGTGGACATGAAATTGTATTCAGCTTGACTTGGGGCCTTTTCTTGGTCTCCTGCTATTCACTGAGAGCGCATGGGAGCAAGTGGCATAAACAGCACACCAAAATTGGAGGGGGCCAGAATTGCTGACCCAGAAATGGAATGGATACCATATATTAAAAATCTAATTCAGACAGTACTCACCATACTCTCAAGATCTATGAACATTCTTCAGTGAAAATTGTGGTCCAACAACAGATTTCCAAGAAGTACACTGAAGACAGACAGGCAAACATGTCTACCTGCCTTTCACTTGAAGTCTTGAGAAAGATGATTTGTCCTCAAAGTGTCTATGATCTGAATAACTGCACAGTCTACTTCAATTTTATTATGCAAATTTGGGTTATTCGTTTATTTCCATTGTAATGAGGTCAGAACCAAGGGCCTCATAAGTGCCAGGCAAGTGGTTTTCCACAAAACTATATCCAAGCCCTCTTTTAACTTTTTGAGTTAGGGTCTCACTATGTTGCCCAGGCTGACACTGAATCACTAGAATTCACAATCCTCCTACTTCAGTCTCATGGATAACCAGCATTACAGACCTAGGCCACTGGGTCTGTAGATTTTGATTTTATCATAAATATAACAGTACTTCTATGGAGTCATGGTTTTCCTCCATCTGGTTTCTGTGGTTCTCTGGTGGAAAACAAACGTTAAAATCAATTAACATTTTTATGTTTTATTATACATTTTAAAACAAAAAGTTCTTGGTATACACACTCTCCCTAAATACACACAGTATGTATGTATGTATGTATGTATGTATGTATGTATATATATATATATGAACAAGACTATGCTTTACAATAAATCCCCTTTGAAGTTATTAGATATAAGATACTGACTGTTAGGCTTGCAGACAGCTTTATTCCCAGCACTCAGGAGACATCTCTGTGGATCTCTGTGAGTTCAAGGCTCTACATAGCTCCAAGACAGCTAGGGTTACATAGTGGGAGACTATCTCAAAAAAACAAAAAACAAAACAAAACAAAAAACTAATAAACATTGTCTGTCTTAACTAGACATAGTGGTACATACATGTAATCATAGTTACTGGAGAGACAGAGGCAGAAGTATTGCAAGTTTCAGTCCATCTTGGACAACTTAAGACTCTGAATCAAAACAAAATTAAAAATGGCTGATGATGTAATTAGTAGTAGAGCATTTACCAAACATACCCAAAGCCCTGTGTTTAGCGCTTCCCCCAGTACCACAGTAATACATTAATACATAAATACATAAATATCTACTGTGTCTCATGTAAGTAACACAGGACAAATGTTCTTGTTTTTCCCCTCTCATAAATATATAGAAGAGAAACTATCAACATCTACTTAAAATGAAAGAAGACTCACAGTACAGTTTAGTGATTAACATTAATTTACTCTAAGGTTTTTTTTATTCTAATTTACCCTAAAACCATATTTATACTGGTTTGGTTTTTGCTTGTTGTTCTGATTTGTTTGACTTGTTTTTGTTTGTTTGTTTGATTGATTGTTTGTTTGTTTGAATCTATGCGCATGAGTTTCCGCACAGGTAACACGAGGATGAAAGTGCCCTGCTTTATAAGGCAGAGTAGTGACTATGCCATGTTCCATGGCAGTTGTGGGTTTACTCTGTGCCAGCCATGGCCATCATACTGCATTCATTTATTTAATCCTTGAATCCATTCATTTATTTAATCCATTCATTTATTTAATGCGCTGCCAGACTGAGAGTTGTTCTCCCATTTTACCAATGACAAAAATGAAGCAGACACCTTAACCACTGCAGTCAAACACACAAAGCTAGTGTGAACAACAATAAAAAATACAGGACTGCCCTGACTGCCTTGATTCTTCGCCTCTCAGCAAATGATGTGATGCAAGCAGCTTAGTGGTAGACAAAAAACATTTTTATAAGAATTTCACTTCAAAATCTAGGAAAGAAAACAGTCAAATTAGGAATTTCATAATGTCATTGTTAGTGACTGTATTGTTAGATTTTTTGTTATTGGTTGGCTTTGGTTTTTGTTTGGTTGGTTTGGTAACTTGATAAAAACTAGAGTCATCTGGGAAGAGGGAACCACAATTGAGAAAATGTACCCATCAGATTAGCCTACAGATTAGACTGAGGGCAAGCTACCGGGTATTTTCTTGATTAACATTTGATGTGGGGGCCCAATCTAAAGTGGATAGTGCCACCCGATGTAGGTGGTCCTGGGATGTACAAGAGAGCAGGCTTAGTAAGCCATGGATAGCAATCAAGTAAGCAGCACTCCTCTGGGGCCTTTTCTTCAATTCTTGCCTCCAGGTTCCTGCCTTGAATTCCTGCCTGGACTTCTCTCAGCGATGGACTGTGACCTGGAAGGATAACAGAAATAAACTGAAGTTGATTTAACCATGGTGTGTTATGGCAGCAATAGAAACTGTAACTAAGACAAATACTGTATGTTTCATTTATTTAATTATGTTAAACCTTATGGGTGAGGAGTTTTCATAATGCTATCATTTCTTTTATGTGAAAAATATGCTAGGTAATTGTTTTAGATCTAAATTTGAGGTAATTTAACATTTGTCCAAACAATCCAGTACTTTTCTAGAAGGTTAGAACTAGGATTAATTTCTTCCAAATCACTTTAGGGAATCTACCAATGTTACCTCTGACATTAACGTATAAAGGATTTTAATTCCAGCCCCCTTCACCGCTCAGAACAAATGAGATAATTGTGAAGTCAAAATGGCTGTTTATAATTATGACTGATTGGGAGAATTTCTGGCAACTCAGATATGGAAACATAAATATAATATCTCACATCTCACACTGGTAAACACTTTACAACAATGAAAATGCATGATCCCCCCAAACAAATACCTTTTTTATACATTATTAAATATTAATAGGTACACTAACTTGAAAACTCACTCTACACTAAAAATAAAACTAAGTGATACGATTTTTTGACTGAGAAACGAAGGCAGTAGGAGAAGCTGTGTTTATTGCTGCAATCATAGCTTGTGCTTTAACATTAGGAAATCAGTGTAAACACGTACTTTCTTAATTAGCATGGCAGCAAAATGGAAGATTTGAGACCCACGAATTCCAAGATGGAGATCAACTTAGAAAGGGGCTTTACCCTTACTAAATAATATGATATGAAGGGAGATAGCAGATATTGTATATTAAATACCCTTTCACTTAACAAGGGACACAATTTAAAAGAAAGGAATAAGATTCATTGCTCTGAAGGGATTTTTGTTGTTGTGATGAGATGATAAAATTGAAGCTATTTTTATTTTTCATTATTTTAAATGTATCTGTTTGTTTGGTAATGGGTGGGTGGAGGCTGCACACATATGCTGCAGCATGCCAGTGGAG